ACTCTATCGAACAAATAGTAAGTTCAATTCCCAAGTTGCAAATTCTCAGCAGTATCTTGTAGTCTGGATTAGTTCCCGATTGATCAATAGGTTCTCCGTCTGACGTGGGATTTAACAACGAAGGATTTAGCATAAAAGGTGCAAGGGAAGGACAGATTGTCGCAAACTGTAAACTGGACTGAGATACATACCTACGTAGATTCATAACAGAGGTTGTATGTGTTGGTGATGAAATAGACTTACAATTTCTCATAATTTTATTACACAATGATAATTCAGATTTTGAATGTGTCAATCTATTGGTTGCTAGTTCTAGTGGAACCTATAACAAAAAATATTATTCTCCTGATGACGTATCTGGTCGTACCTAGATGGAGCAACTTTGATAGGGACTCATGAGTAGCTGGTAAAAAATGTGTTGGAGATGCACAATATCAAAGCACCGCTCTGTACCGACACTTACACTTTCAATGACTAAAAGACAGGACGTTATGCTGTGCCCGAAAAGTACTTAACCCATATACATAACCTGCTATTTTTTTTAAGCGGTGATATTCATCGAATGACTTTTCACGCCAGGGTGAGGCGGGAGGGAGTGTGACTCTTACTGACTAAAAATCACTCCGTTCCTTCTCCTGGACTTCGAGCCGGATCCCTGGTAACCCGTTAGGTTCTCCGCGACAACCTGCTAATACTAGCCCGTCATTCAAAACATACATCAACAGCCTATACTTCAGTCATTGCTGAGCAAAGCCTCTTCTCAGGTGGATAAGTAGGTAATCTAAGAAAGTAAGTACATTTTTTTTCTTCATATTTGTAATCGGATCCCTAGCCATAATCAAATATGGTCTTATTGGTATTTTTTATTATATAAAAAGTACATAATTATAACTCGGATAAAGTCACATTGGTACTTACCGTTGGTAGGTTTCGAACCCGCACCCTCAGGCCTCATACATGAGAAGCGTCTTAACCTCCGGTCTATACCTACCTTTTAACAATAAAATAAGTTCCTATATTTATAGACACCACTATCTTTCCTTATTCTCACAAATATAAACGTGATGGATGGCCGAAAGAAACGTCACTATCTTTAGCTGGAGCTGTTCATGTTGGAAGCGCTGGAAAAACGACCTAAAAGACATTAGTCACAGTTTGATATCGGTCATGCGTGTTAGGACTTATATAACTATCATTCATTACTTTATTTTCTTTGATATTTAGGTAGCCTACTATTGTACGTATAATAGATAATAGATTATCTAGATACCTAGTTGTTTTGTTCTAGAAGAGTGTTACACAAACTTGCGCTTTTGTGGCATGGGTTGAGCCATACCCAGAGATGTACAAAATGGTTTTAAAAAAGCATTTAAATACAAAATACTTTTCAGATTTACTATTTCAAATGCAAAATACCAAATAGTTTTGCGTTTTGTATTTCAAATGCTAAATGCAAAATAGGTATTTTCAAAATAAAATACCCCCTGACGAAATTACAGATACATATTTTTATTTATTATAGGTACATATTTATTTATCATACATGAGCATGAGCAATAGAGACACACAATGCCGAGCCGAATAACAAACGTCTAATAACACATTAGGTACATATGATTACCTACACTTTTCTTATTAAAATTAATAACAACTGGAACTGGACTGGTATTGTTAAAAATTGATAAAAATAAATATCATATTTTTATTGATTACGCTTTTTAACAATACCAGTTGTTCGAATACATCATCATTCATTTTTCTTCTGTGAGGTCTTGTCTGGTCTTGTCAGACCTTCAAATTGACACTTGTCAGACATTACTTGACATAAGGCGCGCACTCTGACCAAAGAAGAAAAAGATGTCGTGCATGGTTAGCAGGCGCCTCTATCGGTCGAATTCGGCAATACAAGTGTTTTGTTTTGTTTGACTGGTAATGTTAGCTAAACTTAATCACAAAGTATTTTGCATTTTGAAATGAATATTAAAAATACAAAATGCATCTCGAAAGGCATTTCAAATAAAATACAAAATACTTTTCACTGAAAGGTATTTAAATACAAAATAGGTATTTTGCATTTTCTATTTGCATTTAAAATAGAAGTATTTCAAATAAATCACATCTCTGGCCATACCTAGGAAGCGTCACTGCACTAAAGAATTTAGAAAACCTAAAAACCTTAGAATCGGTCTCGCGACAATCGAGTACGACAGCCTCGTTTGCGACTACTTGACCATATATAGATAGATCTATCATCTAATTTGTTAACAAAGCCTAATAATTTCACTCGATTCAGCTCTTTACGAACCCAAAAAATCTCCACAAACACATGGGTTTGCAACCACTTGACGGATCCGTCGTGAATTTTGCTAATGAGGTCAAATCACTTCAGTCGATTCAGGTTTCAACGAAGCCTAAAAACTTGACAAACAGATCCCACTCATTGTTGAACTTTTTTATGGAATAGGAGGCAAATGAACAGACGGATCACCTGATGGTAAGCGATCAGCGCCGCCCATGGACACCCATAACACCAGAGGAGTCACAGGTGCGTTGCTGGCCTTGTAAAAAGGAGTACCTACGCCCTTTATTGAAAGTTGATAAAAATACTACTGAGAAAATACCACTTGTCCTACTTTTTTCATGGCATAAGCCGGTAAACGAGCAGACGGGTCACCCTGATGGTAAGCAAGTGCGTTACCAGCCTTTTGCGGGGATTAGGAGTTTGAGGATCGTTGGGGATTCAAAGATTGGGCAGATTGGGGAAGGGGAGGGTAATTGGGCCTCCGGAAACCTCACTCACACGACGAAACGCAACGCAAGCGTTGCTTCACGTCGGTTTTGTGTGAGGCCGTGGTATCACTCCGGTCGAGCCACTAGGAGCAAACATTCACTCCTACTAGACATACCGAAATAAGTAGGTAAGTAGAAAGATACTTTATATGGTTTTACTTTCTAGAGAAGCACATTATGTCGGTATCTACTCATATTATTATCTTTTACGTACCATAAGAGTCAATTAAGAGATTGAAGTGGAATGAAATACCACTCGTCATTACCTAATGCACCTTCGCAATGCTTTTAAATCCAACACGTTTAGTTATACGCGAGTACAAAAGTTGAATGGATACCGCTAGGGATATATCTCTAGCGCGAAGAATAATACTGAGATTATGATAGCATGAGTGAATCCCGTGCATGGAGTTGTAGAGATTTGAGTACCTTACTCTGGCTTTTGTTTAATTTTCTTTTATACAAGCTGAGGAGCAAAGATACATGCTTCAGGTACCTCGAAGATATTATATCCATTTACCAATTGTCTAATAGGCTTGATGACTAATTTCTATTTGTATGTCCGTCTGGTAGATTATTTAAAAACATTAAACTCGTGTTTTTTATTTTCTTACGGAAACGAATAATTTCGAAGATATATTGATTTGAAATATCGCATGACGACACGTTTGAGTACCTAAGTACGATTTATGTTTTAAAATGACGTAGCTACCTCCCATTCCTAAACTTTGATTCGTTTTATCTAAGCATTGTTTTCTTATACGACAAAATAAAAAAATACGTTTCTAATATTTTTTCATTACCTGACGGACAATTTAGATTTTTTATTTTCATACCCGGTCATCATCCCTTTCTATCGATTACATTATAGTGGTTAGAAACCTTTTTGGAAAATCCTCATGGAGCCCCTTGACCTAGGGAGGACGAACAATAATATCCGAATATTAGGTACTGGTTAAAATCTAATCCGGTATCCCGTCTGCCCGTCTCACACGCCTAGGTACTAGGTAGATACTGGCTCATGTTGTTATTAGCTACTCTAATCGAGACCATAAAACAAAATCACTACCATATCTAACCCAAGATCTAAACTATTCAACTATTCTAGTACAAACAAAACAACAAAACATAGCCCAATATAAGTATAATGTCTATCTCCCTTTTTACATTTTTTTCCTACCTTAGAAGACACGGGTAAAAAAAAACCAATGAAATTCAAGATGGGTAAGTATTGGCATAAAAATTTATTGTCCCATTTCTGTAGCAAATAAATCGCAGCTGGCACAAAGCATTCGCCCAGTCCAATTTATGTCGATATTGTCGCGAAAATATTTAATTTAGTTTGTTCAGTACACGTCGCGACTCGCGAGCCTCGGGCGAAGAAAGCGCGGACCAAAGGAAAGATCCTAAATGAATTCAGATATTTTTCGTTTTGTAGTACTGTCTGATGGTATGTCTTGCTTTAAGATTTAAATTCTAGTTTCACTATCAAAACTGAATAGTATGTTTATTTAATTTGCTTAAAAAAATTATGTAGCTATTTTATTAAGCTTTTAAAGTAGGTACCTAGGTCCAGGAATAAAAAATATGCATTTGGTATTGTTCTGTAGGTACTAAAAAGGCTGTCTATAGAATATCAATTATCAAAGCAATAACAATTTGCAATTTTACTCTCTCCCCGGCTCAATAAGACTTATTTTAACTTTTCTGGTGAAAAGTAGTTCCACTTGGATTGCATTATATCATCATACCTCTGCCTATCCCTCGACAATGTTGTTTAGGTATGATGATATAAACATAAGTAGAAAAAAAGTAATCCTCATTTCCCATCTATAAAATATCAAAAATCAGTTGAAATAAAATCGAGTTATCAATCGAAAAATAAGAATTATTATTTTTACTAGGCCACAAAAATGACAATAATACTTGTTTTGTCTGTGGTCCAATTACCGTTGTTCTATGCACTGCACTATGCCATATTTTCTAAGTAGTCTGTGTAACATGCGTCACAGCTTCGCGTCGACGTTTGACGTTTTGTTTATGTCAAAATGGGATGCGGAATTATTTATAACCTTGTCTCTTAATTTTGTTTTTTAAATAAAATGTGTAAAAGCAATTAAAGTTTATTCATATTTTCATTTAAGACATGATGATGTGAAAGTCGATCGTGAGAAACATAGATTGTTTGATACAAAGCCAGAAATTACAACATGGAGGCCAAGAAAATATCGTTTGGTTTTATGAAAACCAAAAAAGTTGAAAAGCCAATTACGCCGGTTGTAAATGAAGAGAAAAGGGAATATATCGAATGCGTGGAAGAACAATCAATTAAAGTCATTGGGTATGTAATTTTTTTAATCTTATAAGGTAACCTTCAAGGGAGTAAAAAACATTGTATTGTCTGATTGGTCTACTAATGTATCATTTTACAATTTTACATAAGAAGGCGTTCCTTTCGACCTATGTTTGTGTGCTTAAGTATATATTTTTGTAACTAAATCTAGAAACACTTGTAATAATGTTGTACAACCTGGAGCAGTGAATCATTTGCTGTTGATATTATTATTGTTAATGACCTAGATTTACTATTTGACTTGCTACAAACAGTATCGATTTAATTAAAATTTGTAATTGGATTAAAATGAGTAAATTATGTAAGCAATAAGCATATAGTTTTTGAAGGTGAAATTTTGTTGGAACTTAAATCTAACCAAGACATAGAGTACGAGAGCTAAATAGGTACCTTTATCTGTAATAATCTAATAATATGACTGCACAATGTGTTGTGGGGCTGCTTCTTGCATGCAATATTTCTCTATGTGTTATCTACAAATTGCTGTTTTGGGTCTAGTCGTATGTTTGGACATACCTAGTAGAAAATCTGATGTAAACACCATGTTTAAAATAATATTCAATAAAATCTAAATCTACCTCAATAAAAATAAACATAGCAGTACCCTAACATTGCTTGTCTTTCATCCGCAGAGGAGAAACAGCCACAGAAGACCTACCACTAGTAATCCCTATGAAACCAAACACGCTTATCACAGCAGAAAAACTGAAGAAGATAGCGGAAGTAGTAGAAAGTGCTGTGCAAGAGCCAGAAATAAAACAAGAACCAGTTATAAAAACTGAGAATGTTGTTGAAAATGAGACCCTGGAACAGATGGCTGTTAGGGAGCTGATGCAGGAAGCTAAAAAAGAAGTAAAAGTTGAAGTTCCTGATGATTTGGCTATACCTACACCTGCTAAACCGGTTTTAGATGGAGAGAAAGAGGTGAGAAGAACAATTATAATATAATTGTAGTCTAAATACTAAGAATGTAAGGAATATTTGTATATTCTGTTTCCCAATGAACTTTAATTGCAATAGAAAGTTAGGTTATATAAAAAACTTAGATATGGAATGGTTAGGCTGCTCATTATTTGACAACTAATATATATTATTATAATCTAAGAAAATTACCATACTGGATTATTATATAATATAACTAGCTTCTGCCCGCGACTTCGTACGCGTAATCCCATTTTTTCCCGTCCCCGTTCGTGATTTTCGGTAAAAAGTAAAAAAAAAATGTTGGTTAAAAATCCTATTTCAGTCTCCTGGCTATAAGCTACTTCCCTACCAATTTTCAGCCAAATCTGTTCTGCCGTTCTTGAGTTATAAGTGGTGTAACTAACACGACTTTCTTTTATATATATAAGACTAGCTTTTACCCGCGGCTTCGCTCGCGTCACAAAAGGATAAAAAGTAGCCTATGTGTAATATACCAATACACACAGCGCCATCTATACCAATACTTTTGTTTTCCCTCGGGAATATCAAATTTAAAAAGGTTAAAAAGTACCCTATTATTTAATCCGGACTTTTAACTTTACGTCTGCAAAAATTCAAAGCAATCGGTTTAGTAGTTACGGCGTGATAGTGGAACAAACAAACAAACAAACAAACTCACTTTCCCAGTTATAATATTAGTAAGGAGTAAGGATATATAAATATGTAAAATTGTAAAAAGCATTTTATTCGGACTACAAAATACTTTATTATGTTACGGAATCTTAACTTAAACATTTTTATTTAATCAAGATACTGTATGTATTAAGAAGTAAAGTAGCAATTTGTGAAATTTAGATTTTCTTAGCTAATCTATTATACAATACAACACTTTATTTAACAAATCTACTTGTGTAATTACAGTCAACCTTGGATGACTATGAGTCAGTGCCGATTCAACAGTTTGGGATGGCGATGCTAAGAGGAATGGGATGGACTCCAAGCAAAGATGGGTATGTACAACTTTTTATAACTTTCTTTACTTTTATGCTCCTGAGAAACCCATATATCGCCAAGCGGTTACCGATGACCGCTCTCTGCTAACATTATAGACCTTATTTCCAATGATTAGAGGCTACTTTTGTATGAACAAATTTAAGGGATGATTTCAATACAGTATAAGTACTATAGTCCAGTAATAGACTCTCACAGGCTGTTTATGATGATGATAGTAAGAATGTCCATGGGATTAAGCTCACCTTGTACATTTTTATGTATGAAGCCTTTTAAAATAAAAAAAAAACAATAACTGTAAATACATACATACATTTTTATGATTGGGGAGGGGAAGACTTTTACCTCACTAAAACCTCTCCGTGGGCCATCTGCTGCACCTGTAAGGGGTATGTCGTCCTCTAATACTTTCTGGAGCCTTCATGGTACAACACCTGTTAAAGCACATCCCTAGGAACTATAGATACAACTAATAATAATATAAGAGCAAAATAGTACTTATAACTTAATGATTGAAAAAGAGTAACCTATGGAATTTCTTGCTTGCTCGTTCTTCTCCATAGGTATCTACAGTTTGGAATGAGCAAATAGCTTCAGTAGAGGACTGACCTACAGACTGACATTTTTTCTAATTACTTAATATTTAAATATTTTGTTTTGACGTTCAAAAGTGCCTTCTTGGTGTAATTGAAATAAATGATTTTGACTTTGACTTTGAAGGCAGTGATTGGTGTTCAGTGATAAATAACTAAATAATTATTATTACTTCTAATCAATTTCAGGTCAAAATACAAACAACCGGAACTCCGTCCGAAAGGCCTTGGCTTAGGAGCTGATAAAGTGGTAAAAGAAAATCAGAAGAAACAGGCTAAAGATAAAAAAGAAGAACAATTGGTTATTGTAAAAAACTCCTTTGTTAAAATTACTACTGGAAAGTATAGCGGATATTATGGCAAGGTAAATATAATTTATTTTATTTAATACTAAATTAAATAAGCACTAAATTAAACGCTTGCTTTGTATTTCGTAGTGTGAGTGAGGTTACCAGAAGCTCATTTACCTCTTAGTGTAAACCATAATATTTGATGAAAATATATCTCAAGAGAGATATTAAAAAAATGATTGCTCTAGTTTCCATTGGTTTAGAATTCGGCATCTCGAGGTGTCTACTGAGCTGCTTCTAGACCATTTTGAGCTTAACCTTTCTTGTGCCTAAAACGCAAATCTACTCGAGTCCCAGTGTATTTTCTATTGTGTCTCATATCATTGCATTCAAACGGATATTAAATCTTATTACCACTTTCTAGCAATACAAAACTATATATATTTTTTTTTAATTAGGCCAGAATGGCACTTTCGAACGTCAACAAAAACAAAATTAATATTGTTAATGAATTATCTTTCTGTGATCTAATTTGAAAACATAAATTCTTGTCTTATTTGTATTTCTAACTGACTATTGATTTTCAGGTGGTGAGTCTAGACGAGGACAATGGTAGAGTCATGGTAGACATAACAGTAAAGAAAGAAACAGTAAGCCTGAGTGAATTCATGATGCAAGCCGTCTCAAAGTCAGAGTATGATCGAGAATCCAAAGTTATAAGTAAGTATCTACACAAACATATTAAAAAATGAATTGTAGATCATTTACTCCATCCAAGTATAAGCAATTGGGATGATGACAGGGTGAAATATAATTAGTCCGTAAGATAGGTAATGGAAAAATATTAGACACATGTTATTTTATTTGTCGTATAATAAAACAATACTTAGATAAGACGAATCAAAGTTTTGGAGTGGGGGCTTAAACATCATTTCTACGTATAAAATGTACATAGAAGTGACGTCACGCGACATTTCAAATCAATGTATCGTCGAAAGTGTTCGTTTCTGTAAGAAAATAAAAAAAATACGTGTCTAGTGATTTAAAATAATCTACCAGACGGACATTAAAATAAAAATTAGGCATCTACCCTATCCGCAAATGGAAACTCTAGTCAGTTAATTTCTTTCACAGATGCAATTGAAGGTGTGACTAACTACTTCAGATGCACTTTGCATACAAACCCCGCCTCTTGAATGGCCCGCAAGATACAACACTTTGACAATCCATACATTTTATTCATTACTCTAATATACATTTATTCGATACAATTTTAGACGCAGATTCATATGAAGAATACAAAAAGAGCGAAAAGGTTTCGCAAAAGTCATCGAAACAGGAGGAAAGGAGTTCCACCAGCCAGAGAAGCAATGAACTTAGTATGAAAAATGACAGAGAAGCAAGCAGTTACGATTATAGAAGGAATAGAGAAGAAAAATCCTCAAACGGCAGAAGTAGGGACAAGATTAGAGAAAGAAGAGATTCTTCTAGCAGTGAAGACAGGTCAAGACGTAAGCAGAAAAAAGACAGAAGGAGATATAGCAGTAATGATTCGTTAAGCTCTTCTGAAGATGAAAGGAGAAGAAGCAAACATAAGTCTAAGAGTAGAAGGCAAAGAAGTAGCTCAGAAGACTCGCCCAAGAGAAGTTCAGAAGTCAAACGAGATATTGATAAGAAACGAAAAGGGAAGAAAAAGAAGAGAGACAGAGATCGGTCTCCGAACTATAAGAAGCATAGAAAGTAATAAAGTGTAAATACTTTTTTAATCTGTTTTTTATTTTATACTTGTAAAGGTAACTTGACATTCACTTAGTGCAGTTGTGTAGAACTTATAGTTCTATTAATAGGGAATGAGCCTTGTATTATAAAATATTTTATTAAATATGAATTACAGAACTCGTGTTTTTTGTTAGGTGACCATAATTTACGTATAAATTCACTAAAGTGACATCTGTGTTCATACAATGAAAGCACTAACTAATGTCTAGCTTTGACTTTCAAGTTCAACTCAATTAGTTTAATATTTTTCGTAGGAAGATGGCGTTGTGCAAACGTTTTAAATTTTTACACAGATGGCGTTAAAACCATTTTATATACATACCTACCTACAGTTCGAAGTTGGTTTTACCTGTCCGAAAGTAGCTGGCTTTGTTTGATAGCGAGTTAAGCTGTGCCTGTTATTTCATAAGACCTGTATGTATTACCTTAACATGCAAGTAAAGAGTTTGAGTTTGAGTCAAGTAGATACTGTCCTGTTAATCCTTTATGTAAAAATACATTATAGTGTTCAAAGTGTATAGGCGGCCACAAAATAAGTGTTGAAGAGCTATGCTTCGGCACGAACGTGCCGGTTCGACCGGGGTGATACCACGGCCTCACAGAAAACCGACGTGAAGCAACGCTTGCGTTGTGTTTCATCGTGTGAGTTAGGTTACCGGAGGCCCAATTACCCTCCCCTTCCCCAATCGCCCCAATCCCTGAATCCCCATCGTTCCTCAAATTCCTAATCCCCAAAAGGTCGGTAACGCACTTGTAACGCCTCTGGTGTTCCAGGTGGCCATGGGCGACACTGATAGCTTACCATCAGGTGATCTCGTCTGCTCGTCTCCCATAAAAAAAAGAAAAAAAATTGGTGAATAAATGGAACTTTTATACTGTAGGTACTTATACCATGTAAATAGGTATGTGTACTATGTGTAACTGTGCACCTGCAAGTTGAATAAATTTTTCAGGCCATCAGGAAATTGAGATGCAAAATATGGGAACTCGATACAGCTTTTTTTGAGGGGAGAAAATCATCCAATTACTTCTCCCGCCCGGGTGCGTCGAGAGGGAGTGTCAGACTCTTACTAACTAAAAACCACTCAGTTCCTACTCGTGCACTTCGAACCGGAGCCCGTTAAGTCTTCCGCGGCTCTGTATCGGCTTCAGCCCTGTTGGGCCCCATCTGTGGCGGTCTGATGGCTCCTTGAGGCGCACGCGGAACGCGACGCGCCGTTCGCTCGAACCTGGTTCTGGTCGGGCGGCGAGTCACCTGTGCTCGCCGTCCGCAGGCTCATGCTTACGGTGGACGGAGGTTCGTTCCCTCACGCGCTCCGCCTCCTCCTTAGCTAGCATGACTGCTTCGCAGAAGGAGGAGACGGCATCCCAGTCCCCCTCGCTCCGTACCATGATATGAACCGCCGGACGCGAGTGGTCGCCGTCGCCGATTACAACCCTGAGGACACGGCAGTGTTCAGCCCACTCAGGACACACCGCCACCGTATGCTCCACCGTGTCCTCCGGGCGATCCTCGCAGCGATGACACCCGGGCGTTTTCTCCCGCCCAATCAACTCGCTACAGCTTACGAGCTAAAACGTAGCTAGATATAACTACCTACTTGCTTGTATGAAGGAAAATCCACCGCAAGCGATACACTGCACAGCAGTGAGCAGAAAATGCGTTCTCGTTACCACGCAACAGGCGCTGACGCGTGAGTGACGTGGACGCATCCTAGCGTGGGTTCCTCGCTCGGGTATCATAATTAACATGTACTGGTAATTGGATACATAGATTGCATCTACCTACTTACTTTAATAAGCTGTATGTAAGTACAATCAACAACATTAGGCGATAAAAATACCTACATAGTTTAAAATCAAAATTTTACGAGTACATACAAAATTCACGTAGGTAAACGTGTTTCTATGGTAAAAACCTTTTTTTAACAATATTTTCCGTACCTATCTCTAAGAAATTAAAATAAAAAATGGGAGCCAACTAGTGAAATTCAATACTTTTTTCGAACTGTCAAAAACTACAGTTTTCTATTTTTGAATTTCGTACGGGATTGTGTATTATGACGTCACGTTTTTTACACCAAACAGCATACTTATTTTTTTTTAATGGTGTAATACTAATACTAAAATTAAGTTGGTTACGAAATCAATTAATGAAATTTGATTATTTTTTATATTTTTTGTATTGATCAGTCGAAGTAATTAGTATTTAGTAGTATTCAATTGTACCTACTTACGTCAAATTTCAATAACCTATCTATCTGCAGATTTGCTTACTAGAGATAAAATTTTGACATGAGCTCCATACAAAATGTGTCAAAAGTCTATCTCTAGTAAGCAAATCTAGAGGTACAGATAGATAGGTTATTGAAATTGGACGTTAGTAGCTAGCTACTACTTAGGTACCTGCCTATTCTTAAGTATCTCTACATGTAGACCTAAACAAGTATGTATGTATTACCTAAGTAGATACGCTCCGATGCATAATTCATTCGTCGACACAACCTTGTACCTACCTACAGCTCGTTAATTGAACTGTCACTTGCATCGATGTTAAGCCTCGTGTTAACGCAGTTGAGTTTAAAATTTCCACCCCCTTTTATTGTAGGTACTAGCTTTTACACGCGGCTTCGCTAGCGTCACAAAAGGATAAAAAGTAGCCTATGTGACATATACCAATACATACAGCGCCATCTATACCAATACTTTTGTTTTCCCTCGGGAATATCAATTTTTCCGGGATAAAAAGTACCTACCCTATTATTTAATCCGGATTTCTAACTTTACGTCTGCAAAAATTCAAAGCAATCGGTTTAGTAGTTACGGCGTGAAAGTGGAACAAACAAACAAACAAACTCATTTTCCGATTTATAATATTAGTAAGGATTCAGTGAGTGCAATCGAAGTTATTCTCTTGTTTGCTATGTAGTCTGTAGATACCTAAATGGTTTTATTGATGGATGGAAATGTTGGGTGTTTCGTCGTTTCGCACCACGAGTGGTTCAGACTTCGGTGTGAAACGCCGAAGATCTCTTACGAATAGAAGAATTTGAATGGGTTTATTCGCTCATTTATTTATATAGCGAAAATAAAATAATTTAATTTAAATTTTGTTTTGCACGCATATTGTATATTTTTACACATATTTTATTCAGCCAACCGAAATTAAAATACATAATTATGTGTAGTAAAATTAAGAGTTGTAAAACGGTATATCTATCTATACCAAAAGTATTATACGTAATACTTTGTAGTAATAAGTACTTAGTAAGCGACAAGCCATGTGTAACAAATGCAAAATTATTTTATTTTATTTTCGCTATATTACCTACTTTGTGCCTGGCTATACCTACTTTGAGCATTATTAGTGAGAAAACTTTTTGTGCCATTCGCGGTTCGAATAAACCCACAGAATATACCTTCTTTATATGTTCTATTAATAAACCCATTCAAATTCTTCTATGGTCGATTCACACCGTGGTCCGAAACAGCCTATTCGTAAGAGATCTTCGGCGTTTCACACCGCAGTCCGAACCACTCGTGGTGCGAAACGACTAAACACCCGAAATGTTTCGGTCCAAACCAATGTGTGATATGTGTATGACGACTTCACCAACCCCTCCTTAACTCTGCGTCTGATTATAAAAAATCCACAACATTTGTTCATACAAAACTAGTCTCTAAATATCGGAAATAAGGTCTATAAAGGTGTAATTATTAATGGTGGTTGTTAATGGTGGTGACCGCTTGGAATATTTTAAAGAAACTCATAAACTTTAGATACATGACACTTAACATCATTTATGTGTTCACCAAACTATGCTTAATGCTAAGTACCTAAGTGAAACCCACAGTAGGTCCAACAATACAACAAGTAAGGGCTAGTTAAGTGATAATTTAGGAGTGATTGGTGTTTATCGTCCATTTAGTTACCTAAGTAGGTAAATGGCCGTTTTCTTTACATGACTTTCCACAACATCGAAATATGAATAGGTACCTACCTATATCGGTCAATTACCTCGCGTTTTCCTATCACAATTTGGCGGATTTTTAACTTTTCTTTGTAATTGGCTTTTGCGCTACGTCCACGGCTTCAACGCTGTAACGCTGTCTAAATACTAGTTGTCGCCGCAACTTCGTCCGCCTGGAATAGTGATTCACAGCCCTCTCCCGTAGGTGATATCGTGATTATATATTATGTAGTCCATGTCCTAGTACCCTAGTAAAGAGCGTATTCCTTTTTAAAAGGCCGGCAACACACCTATGACTCCTCTGGTGTTGTAGTACATCGTCGCTTATCATCAGGTGATCCGTCTGCTTCTTTGCCTCCTATTCCATAAAAAAAGGAATATCTCCACAATATTTTTCCTTATAAAAATCCAATTATTATCTAAACAACACAATTACAAATGCCATTAGCATTCACCTTCGTATTTTACCTTTAAAACAAGTTTGAACATACCTATAGAGTTTGTAACATAATTAGGTTACGCTCTGGCGAGGCAAAATATACCCTTACTTGACTGGTCTGACCCAATTGATGGTCCTCGTGTCAAGCCGGCAGGCCCGATGAAAATAATTATTTTGCGGAAAACATCTCAGCCGTGTTAGTGGAAAATGACGTTAATTACTTTATAGATAAGGTTTCATCCAAATGAGCGTGTTATCGTACATAACGATAACACGCTCATTTTGTAAGGATTTGTTGTTATTCTAGTGCATGAATAAATCAAGTTCCCTGCTACCTACCTAATTTACTACCTACGAGTAAATGAGCCCTATAAACCTTTTAGTACCTATTAATTTGGACTAATAGGTTTAACTTATTAGTAATCTATTGATGTGTGATCAGTTGATCACAGGTAAAATAAGCACAATGGTTGGCACAATGAATAGGAATAGACTGCACGATTTTTATCCCTACTAGGTGAATTATAATCTGATTAAATTGTTCTTATTGTTTGT